TGATCTTCCAATGGAATCTACCACTTAGGTTTTGATACTGATTAGTTATAATTTTACTTATTTGGTAGTGTGTAAATTTAATTCTGAAGTTCATTTTTCATGGTTAATGTGGCCTTTCAACACATTGCTGGTGGGGGAGCCTTCCGATCAACTTTTGCTTTGGAGGAGTCAATAGAAGTTATTATTATTTTTATAGCTTCTATGTCTACCTAGTCACCCTACATTTAAGTGCCATAGGTTTAACTCTACATATATATTCTTTATGGTAGTAAATTGGTTGTTAGAAAAATCTAATCTAAACGATTTGGAATAAGAAAATGTCAAAGACACTTAACCACTATGGTGGACTGACCTTGTAGCATAGTGGTTAAGTGTCTTTGAAATCTCCTCCCCCCACCTCCATTGCAGTGCCTTGAAAAAGCATTCTCAGTGGGATGTGATCAAGCCACCATCCTTTTTCCTCCATTTCTCTAGCCCGATGGGATTTGGAGCACACACACATGTGCTGTGACTCTATGAGGGTGTGTCTTTCTTAAAAGTTGGTAGTTTATTCCATTTTGTTACCAAGTGCACTTAGAATTATATCTTAATCATTTACATTCTAGTGTCTAATGCTTGAAAAATTGGTTGGTATAACTAATGTGAAAACTGATGTAGTAAGCACATTTTCACATATACAGTTTCTTCTGTTTCTGTCTTGAGGCTGGATTTGCTCAGTTCACATGCCATTGACCTATTGGTTTTTCTTTATGGTATTAATCACCTTACTTTCTGGCTGCTGCTTTTTTAGTAATAAAATTTAAGTACATTTTGTTGTTGTTTTTACTTTCAACCTAAAGCTATTTAAAACAGGAGTGCAGTTTATTAAAAAAATAAAATAAATATTCAGTCCAAGGCAGGCAGGTGTGAGTGCCTGATACTTAATTAAGTTCTCAGTGCTTTAATTATTTTTCCTTCTTGCAGACTCACCTTCTTAATGATCACGCCTAATGCTAAGTACCTACTTATGTGTTTTTATCCAGATTTTTGATGAGAATTCCTGCTTGTATATGTTCTTGCTGCCAAAAATGACTCCTTTATTTTTAAAAACCTGGAAATGGGCACAGTCTGAAAATCTGCAGACACTTGTCACTTGAACCATGGTCTTAGTGACTCATATTTCCAGTCTTGTGGGACAATTATTCATTTAAAAAAAATGCCAATATGACATAGTTCTTTTGCCCTTTTTTTTTTTGTACTGAATAAGCACTTTTTTGTGCAGTATTCAGAGCACTAAGAAAACACTATTTTATCAATGAGTGGAGAAAAGATGGCTGATTTTATCCAGCAAAGCACAGAGACATTAAAAATGACCCTTGCTTTTGATCAACCAATGAACGAATCAAAAACTAGCTGGTAATACACTTAAGTTTTCCTACATGGACACAACCCAAAAAGACATTGCAAATTTTCCAATATTAAAATATAATCTTAGAACTGATCCGATGTCAGGGTCTGTTTCTTATTATATAAACAAACTTAAAAGGATGACCTGGACTTATCTGTCCATTCATGAGCATTGAGTGGAGGGAAGGGCAGGATGAGACCTGACATAGAGGAATTCTGTTGGGTGTTTCCTAGGACTACATGGCACAACAGTATTAAATATCACACACTGTTGGGGTTCTTACCAAAATGCAGCATTGGTAAAAATGAAGAAGACATTCCAAACTTTATGTCATTTAACATTCCTCAACATAAGCACACATAATAAACTTTGAAGATCGTATAGTGAGTGCTCGACTTGAAAATTTAATATTTTTATTTTCTAAAATAAAACAAGTGAAAAAAACTTCACAGAAAGATTTCCCTCCTTGGTATTCTTTCTTTGATGATTTTCAGAGTCATTTTATTTGGGGGTTGAGTAGAAAATACTTGTCTATGATCTTGAGTAGGTCACGTAGAAAAGTAGGAATCATCCAGTTGAGGCTATCTGATTACTCCTGCTTTGTACTCAGTCCTTACTTCCTGTGTTTGTTCAGTTTTGCCTTCTTTCCACGACTAGCAACTCTACGTAAATGACAGATTGTGATCATGTCTATCATACATTTGGAGTAGTGGCTCCAACAGGGCACTTAGCCACCTCATTGCATACATTTTGGGACTCCTTTGGTCCAAAGAGGTAAGAGTCTTCCTTAATGATTTAGAACCATGGAGTACTGACACCATCACATTTGGGTGGATGATTATATCCTATGGTCAGTTCAGCTTTTCTCGTGGTTCTCCCTTTGCTTCCTTGGTGGTAGGAAGCTTCTTGGGACTATGGTCAATTTACCTTATATGGTGCCTGGGGAACATACTGGACTGCTCACCTTTAAAAGGGCTTGTTTTTTCCCTTATGCTTTCCATAATGAATTTTATGTAACCATTTTTTTCTCTAGGATCTTAATGGAAAGTTAGTGGTATTGATTCCGTTTCCATCCCTATAACTCAAGATCAGTATGGATCCAGTGTACTGTGAATATTTTGATTACAGTCACATGCTGCTTAACAGCAGAGATATGTTCTTATTTATTTATTTTTTTTAAGAGATTTTTTTGCTATAGGGCGCGTGCGCTTGCCAGACAGACAGAGACAGATATAGAGATAGAAAGTGAGAAATCACCCCCCGGGGGGGGGGATGGTCATGCTGCAATCCCTTCTCTTCCATTCGCCTGTCGGGATCTTGGGCATGCACACACAGGTGCCCGGCGTGAGTTTTAAGCCACTGGGTCAGGGATGCAAACCGCGGTCGACTACGTGGGAATCCAGCGACATAGCCATTATGCTAACTGCTAGTTCCCGAAAGAGATATGTTCTGAGATAAGTGTCTTTAGGGAAATTTGTCACTGTGTGAACATCATAGAGTGACCTACACAAACCTGGACCTAGGATAGCCTACTTATACCCCTAGACTGTTTTGAATAGCCTATTGCTCCTGGGCTATAAACCTGCACAGCATGTTACTGAACTGAATACTGTGGGCAGTGGTAACACAATGGTCAATATTTGTGTATCTAAACATAGAAAAGATACAGTAGAAATACAGTATAAAAGATAAAGCATGACACACCTGTGTAAGGCACTTACCATGAATGGAGTGTGCAGGACCAGAGTTGCTCTTCATTAGTCAGTGAATGAGTGGTGAGTGAGTGTGAAGGCTCTGGATATTAGCATACACTCTGTAGACTACATGCACATTGAACAATTAAGCTACACTAAATTTTCTTTAAAAAATTTCTTTCTTCAATAGTAAATTGACCTTACTTATGTAACCTTTTTACTTTATAATCTTTTCAATAAAACACAAAATTTTCTTTTTTATAGTCTATAAGTTTTTTTATTAAAATTAATTTTTTAAACATTTTGTTAAAAGGCATATGTGCTTGCCAGAGAGAGACAGAGACAAAAAGAAAGGAAAAGTGAGAAATCATTCCCCAGGGAGGATGACCATTCCACAATCTTTTCTCCATTCTCCTCTCAGAATTTTGGGTACATGCGCACATGTGCCTGGAGTGCTTCTCAGGTTGCTAGGTCTAGGACTTGAACCGTAGAGTTGGCCTTGTGGAATCCAGTGCCTTACTCACCATGCCACCTGCTGGCCCCAAGATTTTTATATTAATTACGAAAATTTTAATTAAAAACTAAGAACAGACACACATAGTAGCCCACTCCTACACAATGTCAGGATCATCAATATCACCATTCACCTCCATATCATGTCTCATTGGAAGGGTCATGATGAACAGAACCACACAAAATTAAATCAAGCATAAGAGAAAATGATGCAATCAAAAGACATAGTAAACACAAGTTGTATGAGGCTGCTTCTGGTATAATACAGCATACTGTTTGACAATAAACATTTTTAAATAAGTAGAATGAGTATACTCTAAATAACCATAAAAATATAGTAAACACATAAGCCAGTAACAGAGTTATTATCATTATAGAGTATCATGTATTATTGCATAATTTTATGTGCTATACTTAAAAAAAATTTTTTTCTTTTAGATTTTTGCTAAGGGCACATATGCTTGCCAGAGAGACACAGAGAGAGAAAAAGACAGAGGGGAAGTACAAAATCACCCCCTGGAAGCGGAGTGTGATTATGCCACAATCCCTTCTCTTCCATCTCTCTTTTTGGGATTTTGGTTATGTACTCACACACGCCCAGCATGTTTTTCAGGCTATCAGGTCCTAACTTGAAATGCATAGTTGGTCCTGTGGTATCAAGCCACCTTAACTTCAATGCCACCAGCTGGCCCATGTCTGTGCTATACTTTTATATAGCTAGCAGTGCAGTAGGTTTGTTTACACCAACACCATCACAACTATGTGAATGCATTGCTTTATGACAGTGATAGGCATTTTTCAGCTCCACTATAATCTTAAGGGACTACCATTGTATATGTGGCCTGCCATTGACCAAAATGCTATTATGTGGCACATGACTATATATTGATGTATGAAAACTTGGTGAGTTTTATCTTTTGTAGATCTAGGGACTAGAGAAGATTTCTCTTAAAGTAACAACCAGAGAAAGCTTAAAGTCCCCATAACTTCCTCTAGAAGCCACGTCTGCTTTGTGTTAGTTGACTGGAACCTTAGAAGCATTGATCTCACAGCTAATTAAGGTGCTCTTGAGTTTCTTAAGATCTACTACAGTGAAAGTGCACTAGAATGGGTGACTCCTCTAGGGAAGATTTTGGAAGCTGGCACCAGTAGGTTGGTTGGGGTTGCCAAGAGCACTGCATTGAGAAGGGCTCAGTGGCAAACAAAACAGTGCAGTGGTCCATAATCCATATCTGTCACGAATGCAATGGGGAGTATTCTTGCCAACAAGCCCATTTGATGACCCTCTACAGGAAAGGCCATGTCACTAAGAGTACTTCTTTCCTTTCTGATATGAATGCTATTAGTCACTGTAACTTATTTTCATTTTTACTCTTAAAAATGCCTGCATTTATTTTTTTAAACAGGCTTATAACCCAGACCATGGATAACTTATTGGACTTTGCCTGAAAGGAGTCATTAGTGCCATTGGATATTTGACCATCCTGGCCACAGGTTTTTCAGAATGAATGGAAGGTCATGCAGCATGAGTCTCCACCGGACTTCGGGAACCCCACAGGGGCCTGGGATGGTCAGTGGCCAACACATTCCTCCCATCCGAGCCCACTTGGGGACTCCTGGCCCCTCTTCCTGTGGCAGCACACCAAACCCTGCTATTGGAAACTTTGCTAACAGCCTCCACCTCAAGATGCCCTCAGGAGGAGGGATGGCCCCTCAGAACAACATGGTTGAGAGTCCCATCCATCTGCCCGCCTTGAGCCCCAGGAGACAAGTGCTCACCAATGGGAAGCCGAGATTCCAGGCCACCCAGGCTGGAGGCATGTCAGGGTCACATACTTTAAAGCCAAAGCATCAGGAGTTTGGAAGTCCTTTTCCTCCAAATCCTGGGAAAGGTAGGAATGACCACAGTGGTATAAATGCTGTTATGAATGTGTGACACTCCATGGAGCTGTAAAACAGAGTGGAAGATAAGATAGATTAGAAATAGGGAGATAGAGTGGGTGGTGTGGGGGTGAATGGCAAGGGCAAGTGTAGCAAGATCTGGCCATCTAGATGCATGAACTTTGCCTGGCTCACTGGAGTCAGAAGTCTGCAGACTATGGATGGGAGCTAATGGGAATTGTTATTATGCTAGTGCTAGAAGTGCTAGAAGAAAAATGGTGTTCAGAAGGAAAAGGATGAAAAAGAACTGTTAACCAATTTAATGAGGAACCAGTACTTATAAATAAAATTATTTTAAGAGCAAATCTTATACTTTTTATAATATAGCTAGTAACAAGAGGGAAGCAAGCTAGAAGAGAATAGTGAAAAGATGTATTTTGTGTTTGTGGAGAACTAGAGTGTCTGGTTAATTTGAGATGCAGCAAGAATGTACTTTCAATTCAGTAGTGTCCTGAATTACCATATATTTTAAATGAAAGAATAATTGTTGGGGAATAGGAATTATTTGATGGCGTACTCTCCAGAAACTGATGTTGACTTAATGAGGTTATATTGTAGATATAGAAAAAGAAGATGTATTCCATGTAAATATATGTAAAATAGCACAATATTATATTCCTTACGGTATTTTTAGCTTCTACTCTTAAATGTTTATATTAAAAGTGCTTACACCCACAAATAGAATTACTGGCAGCCTTCCGAATAGCCACTCACCCAGTTAATTGAGGTGAATAATGATTTATATCAGGCAAGTAGCCAAAAAATTGTTTGTTTTAGTGTCTGTGTATTTCTGTGTATGGAGAAGTTGGTATAAGTGAGCAGATTAAAAAAAAAACACACACACACACAACAACTCTAAGTGTAATGTAGCTTTTTTATTTTCATCTTTCTTTTTTACTTATTTTATTTTTGGTCTAGGTTTGTTTTTGAGTGGTTTTACTTCTTAGAGGTACTGTTTAGTATAGGAGAAAGTTTCCCTGGAGATTACATCCAAAATAGTTCTGTCATCGTAGGGTTGCTGTGTTCATGGCCTGGCAAGCTAAGTTACTTCATGTCCAACTCCGATATTTGGATTTTCAGGGCTGAGGCCCTGTAAAATCTTTCAGTTTACGCTTGACTGGTGAACTGTAGCTTATTTTTATAGGTACTTGTGTTTGCAATCCTGATTGCCAATTATAAGGGTGATAATATTAATAACTTGATTTATTATATCATAACTTAGCATATGTCAGGAACTAGGGTAAGTGCTTTTCAGTACATATCTCATTTATCCCTCATAGTAGCCCTGAGTTGTATGCTATGGTTGCTTTAACTGATAAGGAAACTAAAGTCTAGAAAGAATAAGTAACTTCAGAGTTACCAGCCAGTAAGGAGTTTGGGAATATTACTTGATGGTGACCAGAAGTCCCTAAAGTACCTGAAAATGCTTCAGGTACTTTAGGGACAGTGAATTCTCAGGGTCAACCCATCTTAAAATGCACGGGAAAAAATAGTGCTGCTTCCTGACTCTCTATGTGGCTTTCTGGATCCTTGTTCAGCTTCCCACCTTGCAGTGCCTGTTGTGGATCTGTGTGATTAGGGCATGCATGGGCACAGACAAGGGGTTGAGGACACTGTATTATTTTCTCTCTTGTCCTGGGAGCTTGGATACTATCAGTGGTGGATGGTATGACAAGTGGCTGAATAGGTTCCTTTCAGACCTTGGTTGACAGTTTCTAAACTAAGCCAAAATAGTTCGTTAAAAATGATGATCTGGGACTGTTAAGAACTTTATCTGATCATCTAGTCAACAAATAATCCTTGAGCATATATTATGGGTGAGCCACAGTGCTGTTTTTGTTTTGTTTTGTTTTAAGAGAGGTTTTTAATATAGGGTGCGTGCGCTCACCAGAAAGACAGAGAAAGATAGAAGATGAGAAATCATCCCCGAAGCAGCAGGGGTGGGGGATGACCACACCAAAATCCCTTCTCCACTTTCCTCTCAGGATTTTGGATATGCACACACAGACGCCCGGCATAAGTTAAGCCACTGGGTCTGGGACTTGAACCGTGGTTGACTACATAGGAGTCCAGTAACACAACCATTATGCCATCTGCTAGTCCTGAGCCACTGTTCTGAAGATACAGTAGTCGATAGACTTAATCCATGGGGGCCAGCAGGTGTCATGATAGTTAAGGCATTGGACTCCCACAAGGCTGACTGCAGTTGAAGTCCCAGACCTGGCAACTTGCTTCCTCTCTCTTTCTCTCTCTCTCTTTGGTCAAATTGAAAAAAAAAATAGTGATAAAATAAAATAAAATAATTCTTTCAAAAAAGCAACCAAAAAAGTATAGTCCTTATTCTCAAAAAGTAGGAGAATTCAGAAAAATGTGCGGTTAAAATGAAGCATAGCAGTAGTTTGAAACCCAGACCTGACAGCTTGCATTCTCTCTTTTTCTTTCTCTTTCTCTGTGGTCAAATTAAAAAAATAATAATAACAAATGGAATTAAGTAAATAAATCTTTAAAAAAATAAAATGAAGCACAGTCAGAGTTTTGATTGAGCTATGCTCAGAATGATATGGCAGCATAAAAGAGGGGTTCCTGTCCTGTGTTTGATAGGTACATCTGGGAGGAGAGTAGGCAAATACCTGAAGGGTAAGGAGGTAGCCTTATAGTCACTCAAAGGGTATGTCCTGTGTGTGTATGTAAAAAGATTAGTGTATGGGATTAGTCCCCAAATCTATAGGTTAAGTTGTTAAACTGGAGACTCAATCTGAGTCTGAAGGCCTAAGAAGCAGGGGAGTTGATGGTGTAGTTTCATTCAAAGTCCAGAAGACTTGAGACCCCGGAAGAGCCTATGTTTCAGTTTGAGTGTAAAGGCAGGAAAAAAAGCCAGTGTTGCAGTATAAAAACAGTTAGATAGGAAAGAATTCTTCCTTATTGGGAGAAGGGCTAGCCTTTTGTTCTATTTCAGCTCTGAACTGACTGGGTGAAGATCACCTGCATTAGGTAGGGCTTTAATTCATCTACTGATTTAAATATTAATCTCAATCTAAAACACCCTCATGTAAATATGCAGAATAATATTTGACCAAGTATTTGGGTACCCTGTAACCCAGTCAAGTTGATGCATGAGATTAATCATCACTGTGGGATATTAATGGAACAAGGTGTGGTTTACATGGTGGTTAAGAAAATGGATTTTCTAAACTTTGAGAATGATTATATTAACTCTCAGGAATGAAATGGAGCAGTGTACAGAGAATATAAGTTAGGAAAGATTGTCATACAGACAGGCAGGCATCTTGACTTGAAGACTGGAGAATAATGGCAGCATTTACTCAAAATATCTAAAAAAAGATGCAACCCAAGCATCCATTGATGGATAGGTGGCTAAACAAAATGATGTATATGCTCATAATGGAGTATTATTAAGCCTTAAAAAGGAAGGAAATCCTGATGCATGCTGCAACATGAGGGGACATTAAAGAAATGCTAAATGCACTAGTTACAAGGGGACACTTGTGTGATTTTTCTTATGTGAAATTCCTGAAATAGCTAAATTCATAGAAACAGGAAGAATAGTGAGTGGTTGCATGAGAATTAGGGGAAGGGATGATGGGGAGTTAGTGTTTGATGGGTGCAGAGTTTCAGTTGGGGAAGATGAAAAAGTTCTGGAGGTGGTTAATGGTGATAGTTGTACAACAGTGTGAATGGACTTAATGCCACTGAACCATACACGTAAAAATGATTGAGATGATAAATATTTTGGTAAATTTATTTCCTCAGTGAGAGGGAGAGAGAAAGACAGATGACAGACAGACACACAAAGAAAGCTCAAGAGGGTTCTCATGTCTCAGTCCACCCTAGCCCAGTCAGCCAGGTTCATGGACATTCTTATGCATACCCATTGTGTACAGGGAGACTTCGGGACATGAACCTGGGACTATCCCATGTGGGTTCAGCATTGCAGAGTATTATGTTACCTCTGCGCCACTGTGGCTAGCCAAGATGGGAAATTTTGTCCCATGTTTATTTTGTCATAATTTTAAAGAAAGCAAGCACTAAGTGAAAATCAGTGTGGATCAGGAAATTAGGGTAGTGGTTTAAGAAATAGCAGAGTACATAACTGGAACACACATCCCCTTAGTAATTGTGGTTATTTAAGAATGCAATAAAATATTATTTTTCTTTTAATTTATATGTATTTTTTTCAAATAACGAAGAAATTGTTAGTACATGAATGCTATTAAGGTGTTGATACCTAACTTCTTAATAAACAAAGCTGTTAGGTATTTTTTTGGCTTAGGGGCACCATGAAAAAAGTTACTGAGATATTAATGTCCTGAGTGAAAACATTTGGGTGTCATAGGAATGTGTTTTTCTCAAAGAGAAGGCTGGTGTAGGTGGTTGCTGCTAATGATTTGCAGCTCATTAGATCAGGCAGGCCAGGCCCAAGATCATGATTTGCTTAGTTATTTCCTCTTTGTTGCACAATGGCTGCCTCACTCTTAGCTCTAGCTATTGCATCTGCCTTCTGAGAAGAGTAAGGGAGGGAAAAAGAAGGACGTCTTAGTTTGTATTCTGTTCCTATGACAGCATACCTAAGGCTGGGAAATTTATAAGGAACAGAGGTTTATTCAGCTCACAGTTTTGAAAGTTGAGAAGTCCAAGAGTACATGCCAGTATTTGGCATGAGTCTGTGGTACAGGATGTCACATAGCAAAAGACATCACATAGTGAGAGGGCAAAAGTATGTGTCAGAGAGCAAGAGAGGGCTGTTTTCATAACCCACCCTCATGGTAACCCATCAATCCACCAATCTATTAAACCATGAATGGATTGACCTAGTTACCTCTTACTTAGCTCCACCCCTTAATACTGTGAAAATGGCAATTAAATTTCAATGGGAATTTGATGGGGACATTCAAACTATAGAAAAGCTCAGAAAGCAAAAAGACAAGATAGG